AGCACTCTATATGTATTTATTACCTAAAACCGAACGTTGTTCCAACCCCTCATCATGTTGTATGTATGCAGGTCATACATATTACGAGTGTATAGAATAGACACATCATTCTAAGTTATTAGCCTGCAAAGTGTGACATTAGGCTTAAAGCCTTACAAACAGGAGTTAAAAAAACTAGATGTTCACACAAGTTTGTTATGATGAGACCATTATGTATCATGTAAATTTACAGACCTTAAACGATCATTGCGAGAATTTTGCTCAGAAAAACTAAATATAGCTGAAGTATAGTCTCACCCTGACAGCGAAATATCACTGATTACACGAACATTCAAAACACCAATTATTTTATGCATTTATAGCATAGAAAAAGTTGATTTTGACCACATATACAGCAATAAATTTTTCGGAGTCAGGACTTTTCAAAATCACAAATGGCCGTCTCAAACAACGCGACATAATTAAACAAAGGCGGCATCTATTTGTGTGTGATAATCCGCAGTGAATTGATACATCGATTTGATCCACTTCTCTCTTCCGTTTCGTTTATATAGTCCCTAGGACTTTTGAAGACTAATATTTATGAGGTTACAAACGTTACACCTCTTGTTTGTGTTACGCTGTGGTTTACATCTGACAAAAATATCGTTCCGGTGCGATTTTGCATTACTTGCACCCTTGCTTGACGTTTCGCCGGATACCGCGGAGAAAGTGTGCGAGACATGACAGCGAATCAACAAGGAGAAACGCAAAATTGATAATCGTGCAATGGTTTCATGTACTTTGCATGCGGTTCTCAAGACATGATTTAATCTGTTATTTCAACAAATTACTGTTTACTCAAGCAACAACAGGTCACGGCATTCTTGTTCGCTTGAGTGTTTAAAGCAGCTCGCAGCTCGCAAATACCGTATTTCTGGAGCCGCGAATCAGCGTGTGAACACTCGGCCGCGTATTTGTCTCAGATTCGGTATTTCGCAAATACCGTATTTCTGGAGCCGCGAATCAGCGTGTGAACACTCGGCCGCGTATTTGTCTCAGATTCGGTATTTCGCAAATACCGTATTTCATAAATACGAGGTCTCGTGTGAACGAGGCTTATCTTACTAATAAATCCAAAAAGGTAGTCTAAGTAGGCGTGTTACGTAATGTGTTCCAGTAAAAAAACATTACGAAGATCCTTAACTTGATAAACGTTTTTTTTTTATTGACTGCTATTAATAGTATTATCAAGAGCGTATTAAGAAGGTACTTAATACGCTCTTGGTATTATATAATTAGAAATGCGTTTCTACGGAAAATCTCTCAACTAAAAGATGCATTATAATAACAACACTATCGATGCAACTAAACATGTTAACAATATTACATGTTATGTTTACGTTACATGTAATGTTACACATATTAATTGTACAATGCAGTATCATGGTAACACTGTTAGGCAAAAAAAAGTCTCTTGAATTGTAGTTACTGGGATCGAGGGAGAGGAAGGAACACTATTGTCAGCGGGCGAGAGTATCACCAGAGAGCGTTTCACGAGTCCGGGGCTATAACCAAGCGCGTAGCCAGGGGGGTCCTGGGGGCCCTAGGACCCCCAATCAAAATCAAAATCCCAAAAAAAATTTCAAACATTTCAACAACAAAAAAGTCACAGCATGGTCGGGTTAGGTTTCGATGTAGGGCTGCAGAGGAAATAGTCTTGTCAACAAAACAGTGTTTAAATTGATTTTAAAGCACTATTTTTACATTTAACTAAAAAAAAAATTTCAGACCCTTGTTACTCGCCCGAGAACCCCCCCCCTCCTCAATCCAAATTCCTGGCTATGCCCTTGGCCATAACGTCTCAACAGAGTCTAGGTGTGGGGTGTGGTGAACTAACATTGCGAGTAGTATAGGGTACAAAAGACGTGCCATACACTTTTTTATTTATTTGAAGGTTCATAATAGCAACTTTCGCGTTTTAAGTAATATATAATTACAATATCTATAACTACTGATACTTTGTAATATATCACATGTACAAATAAATCAGCCCTCCACCTTGCCGGTTGTTTTCAAATACTGCTGCGATTGGTGCAGCGCTACAGGTGACGATCAAGTGAAATTTTTACATGGATTTTTTATCCGACAAGTAACTGATATTTTTCCAGGGCGGACTGGGCTGAGCTCAGACTCGTGCACATGCACAGAGTCAGAGTGGCTGTGATGCTATAAGAAAACTGGGCAATCCGGTGGGTAACTTCTAACTTGCCAGATTTGTCTGTACTCGTGCGCCCGCGCTCCGTGCGTTCACTCGGTATATGTGCAAATACACGCGGGCATGTTTACATTACCATGTATGTCTATTACACGTATGTCTACCGGTGCGTGTATATATATGTATCAACAATGTATAAAGCTTGTTTCAAACTGAATATAACATTATTTGCATTGAAATCATTTAAATAAATATTAGGTATATACTGCTAGGTCTCGGGCAACCCAATACTAAATCATATTGATAAATCTAAACGTTGTGTATAATAAATTCAAGTTATGGCAACTACGTCTGAAATAAAACAATATAAACGATACAGATAAAACTCATGCGACAGCGGTACTTAACAATGACGAACCACCATGACGTGTTGTCAACTGGCATAGTCATTACGTGTGCATAAATTTTATTTACGACTTAGTACTAGACACGGCCAGTTTTTGAGTTAAAAATCCCAATCATTTTTTTGAAAAATTACATGAAGGCGAGTTTTCCTTACGTATCGCGAGTAAAGTGGTAACAAGGGCGCAACCACGTGTTGAAAGTTGGGGGGGGGGTCTCAAGCAGCCAATAGCAACGTGATCTGCGGGCGAGCGAATATCACGTATTTCAGCGTGTTAATGGAAGTGTTGCATTAAGTGATGTCATTAATGACAATCAATCAATCATTCAATCAATTCATCATTCATCATTCATTCATCATCATTCATCATTCAATCAATGCATCAAATCATTCAATCATTCAATCAATCAATGACATCAAGTGATGTCATTAATGACATTACTAGGATCATGTATACATAAAATACCAAAATGTTTTATTAATTAGATTAAGCTAGTAGTAAAGCTACACACAGACTGTGCTAACTGTGTGCCACAGTTAGCATGATTAAGATGAAGAGGAAAATAATAATGCAAAACAGTGTCTGACACGTGAAAACAGAGAACAGTGTTAGAAACCAAATGTGACCTTCCTTGAGTCACACTTTCCAACAAAATATTTTGCAATTGCTTCAATATCGATTCCATCTGTCATGTCTTGATGAACGTGCAAAACAGCAAGGTGGTTGAGCCTTGCCTGGGCCATTGAGCTTCGAAGATAAGTCTTCAGCCGACGCAGACCAGAAAAGCTTCTCTCTGCTTTTGCACTGCTACAGGGAATAGTAAGCAGAAGTCGCAGGAATGTGTCCACTTGATTAAACAGCTTTAGCAGCGATTAGCAGAACGGTGCCGCGCCGCTTGTGTGGAGATACGTAGCTATATAGACACAGTTGGCTTGCGAACGCGTGGTGAATGTCTTGCTCGTTCCATGCACGTGAGATTGCATGTACTATGTAGGTCGAAACTGTCGAATCTAAATGATATTAACAAGGGTTCTATTTAGATATCTGAATCTGAATCACAGTTATTACACTGCACTTGACCACCTGGGGTTTTTATTTATTTTAACTTTCACCTGTGAAATATGGATGTTTCACGATAATAAACGCTTATCGGACTATTTTGGACCTCACCAGAAAATAAGGTGTTCCAGAAGTTGGGGAGGTCCACATAAAAGTATCCCCCCCCCAGTGGTTGCGCCCGTGAGTGGTAATAATCTATCAATTTTTGCTGGACTTATCGTAATGCAGAGTATTAGTACACAGTATTTTACTGTGTAAATTACTTTGAAGATAGCATCTAACTCGCCGGATAGCATCTAACTCGGTGGCGTTGCGAGACATATATTAGATATGAGAGAATGGGGGAATGTGAGCGGACAGGAAGGAATTTAGAGAGAGAGAGAGAGAGAGAGAGAGAGAGAGAGAGAGAGTGTATGATGTGGTCAAATCAATTTTTCTATGCTATAACTGCATAAAATATTGGTGTTTTGAATGTTGGTGTAATCAGTGATATTTTCGCTGTCAGGTGAGACTATATTCAGCTATATTTAGTTTTTCTGAGCAAAATTCTCGCAATGATCGTTTTAAGGTCTGTAAATTTACATGATACATAATGGTCCATCATAAAAAACTTGTGTGAACATCTAGTTTTTTTTAACTCCTGTGTTTAAGGCTTTAAGCCTAATGTCACACTTTGCAGGCTAATAACTTAGAATGATGTGTCTATTCTACCTAATATTATGACCTGCATACATACAACATGATGATGGGTTGGGAACAAGTTCGGTTTAGGTAATAAATACTAATATAATGCTAAAAGGGGTGGGGTTATGCTTGGTGATGATACACAATGATGCTGATGATGATATGCATATGGTGATGACATATGTATAGGTTGGGGTGTTCTAAAGTATGATTGAGACAGTTACACCCTACAGTATACAGTTACACCCTACAGATTAAACTACAGTTCAGACTTGCGTGACACACATGTATGTCTGTTAATGTTATAAACTTATGGCCTCCAGGCTCCAGTAAATTGAGTAATGCAGGCTCTAGACATCTAGTAGTAGTAGTACTAGTACTAGTACTAGTACTAGTAGTAATTCTAGAAGCTAGACTGTATAGATGGTAGATGTCTATACCGTATACGGTTTGCATTGCGAAAGATGTATGCCTAGTTATTGCACCGACAATACAATCACAGACTACAGTACCGACGTAGCGACCAAGTCAATAATGCCATGACAATTACAACTTACAAGGCTACATAGTACACAGGAGAGTACACAGCTACACTCACACTGTACACAGTACAGTGTACAGACACTAACTCAGTAACTGTAACTAAACGGGCATACTTTTCCATTTGGTCTTTCGAACCGCCTGCCAACCACTGGGCTAAAACTCCTCGGCGGTTGCTTCGTTGCATGCTTCTTTCTCTCCATGTAAGTAAACTACGCGTCTAATTCGAAACTTAATGCACGAAACGTATGAAATTATCGGAGGAGCAATGGAAAGATAATGCCATCTTGTTTGCGCCAACCATGACGTCATGTGCACTTGTTTATTATTAGTGAAGACTCGTTATTATTACGAGCCTTTGTACTTAATTTGGTAGCGTTTTATTATTACTTCTCGTGTTTGTAGAAGTTTCTATATTAATTGAGCTCAGATTTTGCCCGTTTATTTTATGATAATACACTGCAATAATTTAACACTATCGCTAACGTTGGTTTCACTATTACATTATTCTGTTACATAGGATAGGTCTAGACGTGTACAAATGTACAATTTATGGTAAAGTGAATGTATTGGTTATCCTCGATCGATATTAAATGTATACCCATATATTACAAAACAATATACAAAACAAACCCCATACATATCTATAATGTCCCGGTGTGCGCGCGTAAGCATGCGTACGTGCATACTTGTGTGCATGCGTGTGGGATCGTGCGCGCAGGCGTGTATGCGCGTGCACGTGCATGGTCGTTTGTTTAATTGCGACAGAATGAGAAAGAGGGAGCCCGAAATAGAGGGGCGAGACAGAGAGGCAGATAGTCCGATAAACAGACAGACACACACACACACACACACACAACCAGGCAGACAGACAGACGACAGGCAGACAAGGCAGACGGAGACTAGACCCTGAGAGAATCTTCCAAAAAATGTTTGATCCAGATCTGGATTGATTCACCGACCAAATATAATCGATTGTTCTTGGCCAAGACACCGTCCAGTGAGACGGATACTAGAGAACGTTGCGAAAAGGAGTGTGTTGATCCAACGCTATAAGCGCAGATCCTTTCGACGATTAGCGGATAGCAGGCACAGAGTAAAGTCGCCCCCCGATCTTTGCTGGTACCAAATATATGAGTTTGATAAAATTTAAAAAATTGAAGAATAGATGATGTTTTTTATGATTTTTGAATGGCGGTCCGAAGTTTTCGCACAAAATAATAAATTATAAAATACTGGATCAGATTGGATCGGATCACACAAAATCTATCGATTGGTTGTTGGACGTAGACAACCGTCAAAAAAATTCATGAATCGTCGTATTTTTGCATATGTGTTGAAGAAAAAAATAACAACAACATAAATAACGGGGGCAAATACTGTCTTTTGGGGAGGTAAAAAAAATAACGGCAGGGCGAAAAAACTCTGGGGAGGTAATTATAATTATTTGATATGGCAGGTATTCAGGAAACATGATTCACGTTATGGATTTTCGAGATACAGGGTTTTTTGGAACGCATTACTTAGTAGATGGGTTAGATTGTGCAAGTACACATGAATGTGACGCAAGCTCTGCACATACCTGACTGCGAGGAGTTTGAATTAGAATCTTGGTAAGCAGGGATGAACCCGAGGATATGCTTGCGTCACCAAGTTGGATTCACGGATAAAAATTAAAGTGTAGCTATAACCGGTAGATTTATGATACGTTACCGACAAGAGAGAGAGATCGAGAAGCGGGAAGAGGAGGAAAGAGAGAGAGAGAGGAGGGAGAGAGAGAGAGAGAGAGAGAGAGAGAGAGACAGCCAGAGGTTGGAAGAAAAGAGATAGAGTGGAGAGGAGAGAAGAGAAGAGAGAGAGAGAGAGAGAGAGAGAGAGAGAGAGAGAGGGGAAAGAGAGAGAGAGAGTGGAGGGATAGAGAAAGAGGAGAGAGGAGAGAGGAGAGAGAGAGAGGAGGAGCAAGAGAGAGGAGAGCGGCGCGGTGAGAAGAGAGAGAGAGGAGAGAGAGAGAGAGGAGAGAGAGAGAGAGAGAAGAACAGAGAGAGAGAGAGAGAGAGAGAGAAAGAGAGAGAGAGAGAGGAGGAGGAGTGAGAGAGAGAGAGAGAGAGAGAGAGAGAAGAGGAGAGAATGGAGAGAGGAGAGAGAGAGGAGAAGAGAGCGAGAGGGAGAAGAGAAGAGAGGAGAGAGAGAGTGAGAGGGGAGAGGGAGGAGAGCAGAGAGAGAGAGGGAGAGAGAATGAGAGAGGAGAGAGAGATAGAGAGGCAGAGACTGAGATGGAAGAGAGAAGAGAAGAGAAAGAAGAGAGAGGAGAGAGAGAGAGAGAGAGAGGAGAGAGAGAGGGGGGGATCACATATCTTCTCAGAGATTTGTGAACCGTGTCGTGGATGTGTAGAAGTCTTCGACACAATGTCACTACCACGACCTGTGCGAAATTATCACACGAGATGGCGGATCGTACAAAGTATTCCTATATGTTATTTTTTTTATTGTTTTAGAATGGAATTTCGATTGTATACGAACTGGCGTCTTGTAACGCTATAGGCCGCGTTCACAGTAGCAAGAAAGCGGTATTTAGCGTTCACGGAGACGAGGGCAAAATGGCGCGGTCGCAAGAATAACGGTAGTTAAACAGATCCGGTATTTGATGTAAATACCGCTTCCAGACCGATATTTGCCGTCTTTGAGAATACGGATCTCTGACGCACATTTCTAGTGTGAAAGCTATACGATTCTGAAGCCGCGTATTTTATAAGAGCTGTCTGCGATCGACGTTCAGTGTAAGCCGAGTTGGCACTGTCGAGGCGAGCAGTCCTAGTATTGTTATTCGGCAGTTGGTGCGCATTGCAGTTGTTTATTTCGCATTGTTCGCTTGTGTTTAAACGCAGGCGTGCCGCAGATCGGCAATACGGGTATTTCTTGATAGACAGAGAGCGGAGATAAAAGATCGTGTGAACTAGAGATCCGTTTCAACGGCGCGTATTTGTCCTCAGCACTTCGTATTTCTCGTCAATACCTTCCTGTATCTTCCTTAATAATACGAGGTTCTGTTGTGAAGTAGGCTTTTACTAATATATCAAAAGGTATCTACAGTAGGCTGTTACGTAATGTTGCTTTCTCATGTAAAATACCTTCGACTGAATCTATTGATCATATCTGTTCTCTTATCTCTCGACTGTATTAAAGATATCTAGTAGAGGGATATTAGAAGTACTCTTAATTCTAATCATTTGTAGTACTCGCTGCTTGTATTAAATCATTCAGAAATGGTATAGCGTTTCTGCGGGAAGAAATATCTCTCTCTATACCGAAAGTCGGCGTACAGATGCATTCATATACTCAACATACCACTTCATCGATGCACTAAATTCATAGTTTACATCTCATAATCTCACATTGTTATGTGATTTGACGTTACATGTATGTACATAATCAAGTTAATTGTTATCAGGATCGCGCTCTAATGGAATCATGTTTACGCTAAAAAAAGTCTCTTGAAATTGTAGTAACAACCTCCAGTGTCAGGAGTCGATCGAGAGAGAAAGGAGCACGTGATTGTCAGAGAACGAGAAGTGCTCACACCCCCAAGCAGCACAGACACAAACAAAGAAACAACGCACCCAACCAAAGAAATTTCCAACTGAGACAGCCGAGGGGATATATATACTTACTCCACTGAGGAAAACGCGCACCCGCAAATGTTTCCCTCCTCCCCACCAGAACGGACACCCGCCCCACAAAATGTTCCCCCACCATGCCACAGGCTCAGTACACCGCACCCCCAACACCCCCCACCGCCGGAGATCTGCCCAACACCCCCAGCCCCCCCACTACCACCCGAAAACCCAGCAAAGAGATAATTACCGCGGGGTACGCTATAATTACCGCGTGATGCGCGTTAGTCCAGGGGGGCTATGGGGCGCCTCTGAGATCTCCATACTCAATCAAAATCCAAAAAAATTCAACATTTCAGTACAAGCTAATACAGTCAGGCATCGCGCAAGATGGTCGGGTCGTACGTAGGGTCTCTTTTGATGAGCAGTGGACTTGTATGCTGGAAGTGCGCTGGCAGCAGGATAGGGGCTCGGTATATCGGGTCAATCAACATAGGGGTCTAATTCGGTGTTAATAAGAGGCGAAGGTGTGGTGAGGATGTGACGTTGGAGTTGCAGTCTTCGATAGCTACCTCGAGGTGCATTTAGGTTCTGATAGGCGTCTAGAGTCAATAAAATATCAGATAGCGGTATCGCGAGTTGGATCAGAAAGATTCACTCGCGACGACAGGGCCCGTGGGCCCATGGCATCATAGGGCGGATCACTCGAGCGGAGGATAGCGTGCTATGACAGGGAGGAGAGCCTTATTAGCAAGGAACCGGGTGCGATTGCTCGGGGGCGAGCTAATATACTGTGATGTGTACAGAATTGATGGGTGTTGAGGCGAAGTGGGGAGTAGGGAGGCTGGTTTCGAGTGTGCTAGGGTGTGGTGTGTGAACTAAGCCTATTTTTGCGCATGTCTCATGTTGATTCTTCGGGTCTATTCACCTTACAATTCGTAACCAGTTTGCTCGTCATACTACTTCTTTTTCTTTCTACTTTATTTTGAGTTCATCATATTGAAGCAAACTTGTTCGCTCGTTTTAGAGTAATTACTATTCAATCGTCGTTCTGCTATATTGCTAAACTACATCCTATTTTCTCTCTCTCGATCTTTCATATCGGTAATCATAGCTCTTCACATTGTAGATATAATCATCAGGGCCTGCCACGCTTCGCGTCTTCTCTTCTAATATACTGTAACGGCTGAGTATTGGTGCAGCGTCTACATGGTGAGGATAACGGACACACTCTTATCTATTCGGTCTCGGTTTGTTCGGGTGCGGGATTTTGTATCGCTCAAAAGAGGGAGGTGCTTGTCTATGCTGAGTATTGTTTCTCCAGATCTGGTCGGCTGCGCTGAGGTCTCAGACTCGTCGCCATGCTCTAGAGTCCAGAGTGGCTGTGATGTCTAATAAAACAATCATCGGGGGTTCTGGGGTGGCAATCCGGTGGTGATCGGTTCTTACTTGCGCAGATTTTGTGCTGTAGCTTCGTGCCTCGGCCCCGCTCGCGGCGTCTCTTTCACTGCTCGTTATATGATGGGCAAATACAGCGCCGTGTTTTACACATACGATGTGTAATGGTCTATTATCAACGTACGGTCTACGGTGTGCCGTGCTATATATATCTTTTCTATCCTCTCATAGTTTACTCTCTCTCTCATGCTCGTTCTTCAAACTGCGTATCATTAAGTGACATCTCGTATCTTTCATGTCTGCCAAATCATTTCGTAAATAATATTAGTATACTCTACTGGCTAAGGTCTGGTCAACTAACTTAAGCTGACAACCCATTTTTACTTGTGCGATCATCTAATCTATTATTACTCGGTTGTAGCCTCCATTAATCTAAAATTGATTATTCGGTCTAACATCAGTTTCGTATAATATCACGCTCTCTATCTAAACGATCACAGATACAAATGTGATGCGAAGCGGGTAACTTAACATGCGAACCACATGGACGTGTTGTAACTGGCATAGTCATCTAGTGGTTTGCATAATTTTTTATTAGCGACTTAGTAGTAGACAGGCCAGTTTTGAGTTGCTACATCAAAAAACTCCCATCATTTTTTGAAAAATTTAGATGAGTCGAGTTTTTCTTAGTATCGCGATAAGTGTACAAGGGCGGAAACCCGTGTTGAAGTGGGGGGGGGTTAGCAGAGACCAATTAGACGTGAGTCTGGCCGGCGGAAGCGAACTACTCAGTATTTCAGTAGGTCTTAATTTGGAGAGTGTGGGCTTAGTGATGTCATTATTGCATGCAATCATCACTCATTCAATAATTCATTCTTCATCATTCATTCATCATCATTCATCATTCAATCAATTCATCAAATATTCAATCATTCATATGCATGAATCAATGATGGTCATAATGAAATTACTAGGATGCATTTATAGATCAAATCAAAATGTTTATTCTTAGATTAGCTAAGTAGCTCAAAGCACACACAGACTGTGCTAATGGTGACCACAGTTACGCATCGAATTCAAGATGAAGGAGGAAATCATAATGCAAAAGCTGTATGACACGGAAAGAGACAGTGTTTAGAAGCCAATGTGACGTTCCTTTGAGTCAATTTCACAAATATTTTGCAATTGCTTGAATATAGATTCGCATTTGTCATGTATTGATGAAGTGCAAATAAAGAAGGTGGTTGAGGCTTTGCTGGGCATTGAGCTTCAAAGATTAAGTTTCTCAGCAGACGCAGACAGAAAGCTCTCTGCTGCTTTTGCACTGTACAGGGAATAGTAAGGGAGAAGTCGCAGAATATGTGTCCCTTGCTTGAAGAAGCTAGCAGCGATTAGAGAAGGTGGGCGGTTCGTGTGTGGAGTTACGTAGCTATTATAGAACAGTTCGCTGCGAAGCGCGTGGTGAATGTCTTGGTCCGTTCCCATGGCCCGTGAGATTGTCTTACTATTCTAGGTGAAACTGTCGATTTTAATGATATTAAGAAGGTTTCTAATTTAGATATCGGTCTGAATTTGCATCAATTGATTGGCTGCATTGACACCTGGGTTTTTATTTATTTTAATTATACTGTGTAATATGGATTGTTTTACGATAATAACCTTATCGACATTTTTGGCTCACCCGAAAATAAGGTGTTCAGAGTTAGGGAGGTCCACATAAAAGTTCCCCCAGTGTTGCGCCCGGTGAGTGGTAATAATCTATCAATTTTTGCTGGTTATAGTTAATGCAGATATTAGTAACCCCAAAAGTATTTCCTGTGTAATTACTTTTGAGATGATCTACTCGCGATAGCATTTATAGTGGAGTTGGAGACATATATTAGATATATTAGAATGGGGGGGGATGTGAGGACAGGAAGGAATTTAGAGAGGAGAGAGAGAGAGGAGGAGAGGGGAGAGAGAGAGAGAGAGAGAGAGGAGAGAGGAGAAGAGAGAGAGAGGAGAGAGCGAGAGTAGAGAGAGAGAGAGAGAGAGAGAGAGAGAGAGGAAAGGGATAGCGCGAAGAAGAGGCTTGCAAACAATAGTTGGCGTCATGTTATAGAGTCGTTAGATGGCGAGCCGAAATATTCCCATGATGCGCATCATCGCATCAATCATGGATGAATGATGGTAAGCATGTAAGCGCGAATGTGTCGAAGTAAACTATTGAGTATCTCTTTACTGAGTTTGGGGGGGGTAACTCTTGTTGAGTAACGGTAGGGGTATTTTATGTTAATAAATTCAATAATCGCTAGTGTTAATTGGAGTTGTTTGGTGCTGATGTTTACTAAGATCAGATTTACCTAAGTTAGCTGAGAGTAGGCTCCAAGAAAGCGTATCGGTAGGTTAGGATACCGTAGGATACCCGTACTATAGGATAGTATAGACAATCCGGTCGCACAGCCTGGTCGGGCCTACGCTGAGAGGGTCTAGTGACTATGTCCCCATGCTGTATGGCCGGAACGTACGTAACCCTGGTACGGTCCGTATACCGAACCGTACCACTGGTAGCTATTCTAATATGGCCGGACTGACCTCGCCTACTCGCAGCTCACGAGTCAGGGTCCCTACCCTACTCCTAAACCTTAGGAAACCGAGCGCTAACCCGTACATTAACCTCATCCTAACAGGCTAACATATAAATAGTGACCAGGGTAAGTTTTCGGTATATCCGGACGTACGCCATGGGTTAGTTCCGGCAGTACCCTGGGGGACATAGACCCTATGAGCCTAAGTTACTTCATTCGCAAGTTGTGACATCAGACATGCGTCTAAAGAGATCGAGGAATTGCTCCGACCTGTGATTGGAGGTTAAAAATTCTATTTTTATCCTCCAATCACAGGTCGGAGCAATTCCTCTGTTTGTGGACTATGCACCGGCAGCAGCACCATGCATGATGGCTGTGCGCCACGCACGTGTGGATGTGTGTGTGTGTGTGCGTGCGTATGTGTGCATGCGTGCGTGCGTGTGTGGGCGAGTATGAACGTTCGTGTAATACGTATCAATGTAAACACTCAAGATAATCGAGACTAGAGCTTGAAATTGAACTGATATAATTATGTCATGATATGAAAGATACAATTCTTAGACTGATACTGTCCTTGTCACTGATATTATCACAGTGTATCAGTATCATATGTACTTGTGCCATTTCAATAATAAAATGATGGTAAATAAACACAATTTGTATTTAATATCAATGGGTTACTTTATATTCTCTATCACGTAGCAATTCCACGTAAATCCGTTCAAATGCTCATCTACAACACACAATGTTATCATATGTATACGACTGGTGTTGTGCAGAAGCTTACGAAAGATACAGTTGGTAGGAAGGCGCAAACGCCAAATTTGCACATCACTTCCTTCGTGTCACACGGTGACAGCATTAAATACACACCCATTTCGGTATCTGTGCAGAGTCGAGCGATCACTTGTTCAAATGATCACACTTGAACTTGAATAAAAAATAATTAACCTTGAGAAATCACGTAAAATCTGGCAAAAACTGTCTTTTAACAGTTATGTAAATGGGACCAATCTTAGTTTATACATGAGCAATGGCAGTGCATTGCATTCTTGTTGAATTACGACCTTATTTCATGCTCCAAGACGAGCCCTGCTACTCTGCTCCAAGCCAAGCCAGGATGATTTGGATCAGAGTGACATCATATACATGATTATGTTCATTGGTAAAATAATTGAATAGTGCTGACATGGATTCTTTGCATTATAAGATTGCATTTGAACGGCATTCACCTGGAACTATTATGTAGTGGAGTGTAAATAAACGTTAAGGCTTGCGTTAATTTGTGTACATTTTATCATTGATTGGCCGAAGTGCCTATGATCACTATCATTGATAATGAGAATTGATGCTGTTTTAAAACAATGTGTGATGTCTTTTGTGAGATTTGATGCATGAGAACTGATATGATATGACGAGTAATTCAAGTGCAAACAAAGCAATTTAGGCTATAAAATCCCTGATCAAATTAAGATAATTAACCATAATAATCATTAGGTCACCAATACAGTAGCTAGCTGTGCCATACATGGTAGGACACTTTGCTCTGCCACGTTGATGTACATACCTCTACGAAGGGAGTTGCTATAAGATCCAGTGCTTTGGAGATGAACTGGCACTTGAGCAGCATTTCACCACCACCACTATGTACATTGCAACAGCATATATCTAAAATGTTATCCAACTTAATAATCGAGACATTTGATAAAATTGAACATATTGGTGATATAATTAAGAGGGATGCTAATAAGTGGTCATTAGTGATTATCAATTGTTGTTATAAATTTAATTGTTATGAAATAGTAATGCAATAACTTCTAGCCACTAATAATTGCAGCGCTCGTATCTGATATATATATATATATATATATATGTTTATATCTATATATATATATAAACAAACTTGAATGAATGTATGTGCATTGCTCTGTGTTAGGTGAAGACAACTGGCAGCCGCCCACCGAAGCTGAGATGAAAGTGATTCGTGCGCGACAGGATCGCAGTTCCAAGATCAGCAAGCTGATGTCAGAGTACCTACTGAAGGGTTACAAGATGCTAGGAACATCTTGCCAAGTCTGCAATGACCATGTAAAAAAACTGCTTGCATTAATTAAACAGTATTTGCTGCATGCTCAATTGAAACCCAATAACTTCAGAAATTGGGGGCGGGGGTTAAAAGGAAAGAGATGCAAATTAAGGAAAAGGTCAGGAATTATTATAAATGCCTATGGGTTGCCTTCATTGTTAAAAACCATTTTTGTCTATAGTTTGTGGATGGAGTAGGTTGTGAGCATGAACTTCTCTATACAAGGTGTGTCCATGTTATAAGTTACTAAAAACGTTTATTGTATTATCTAAGAAAGTAACAGGAAACAAAGACAAAGTGTGAACACCTTGATAATTCTGACTGTAATTTGTAAAGTGATACACTGTGATGAATTATTTGACTTTAAATTTATATGACCTGCTATTTGGATCCATGTGGGAAGGTTGTATCAGCTTTGGCATTGAAAAATGCATAGTATTCACCTGGTGCCAGGCTACATATATTGTTACTTGTTGGATAAGATCAAGGAGTAAGGGCAATTAATAAAATAACAATAGAGCATGTAGGTGTAAATATTAAAATGGGTTTCTGATGTATTTTCAGACTATATTACTAAGAGACAAGAAAGACAATGACTATTGCATCACATGCAGTGAGCTTGATGAGGAAAATATCAAAGATAATCCAGGTGTGTTAGCCAAGCATGGGCATCAACATTAAAGCTCTATGCCCTGTCATGTGTGGAGGTGTGTCTTAGCTGTATCAGTGTACATGTTTTTTCATTAGGATTATTTTTAAAGAAAGATCAGGTGAGAAAGCATTGCATGTTTTATGTGTATGTGATGAAACTGTTTGCACTGCTGATGCTGTATGAATGCCTGCACATTCATTTAGCTGGATTCCAGCCACTGGGGTATATTTGATTTGACAACATTTATTTACAGCGATTGAGTTGGTCACTTTAGTAAAGCCCACTCATTATTTTTAAAAAAAACTTGGCAAAGGCAAGTTTAGTGATAATAATTTGCACAATTCTTATGGTCTAATGTTCATAACATTAACCTTCATAGTATGGCGGAGCATTGCTGTATGGAATTGTTGAACCTAATTCCTTACGTCTCAATTGTAGCACGTGCCAATTTTTTGGTTTGACCGCAGTATTTTCCAAGTAATGTTTTTTCACGTAGTTATACTGTAGCATTTGGTGGGGCTGCAGGTCGCTAGCCATATTAAAAATCCAACTTCGAAGTATATTCATATTATTTTGTGGAATGATGGATGTAGGAGCAGTGGAGAGTTGTCAATTTCGAATAAAGACTTGCTATATTGATGTTGTAGCATTCAACTACACGGCAGCTAGGACCCAAGTAAGAGAAGCAGAGGGGCAACCGCAAGCTGTTGCAAGTGTAATCAAGGAGCAGGAAGTGCATCTCGTCCCAGACCTGGGGGCGACTGCTCTTCTCCCCACCTCCTCAACTCTCAACTCGCCACCAATGCAAAGAGTCTTTCTACCAAGTGATGCAGACACGGCATTACCGAAGCAAGTGACAGTATGTGAAACGGAAGGGCTGGCCTCGCCATGGGGGGCCCTGCAGGACAAGCTGCAGTGGGCAACGATAGAACTCGCTCGTAGTCATAGTGTTGAGTACAGCACCCAGTTGTGTGGACTGGTCAAAGCATGCGCAGATGCCATGTTAGCCCTGCAGCAACTCAGAGCTGGTATGAGGTGATCCGCAGCCATATTGTGCTAGCAAAGCGATTGAGGTTACTCTCCACCTTTTACACGGGTATTGCTCTAGTGAAGATTAAACGTTTATTGGCGAATGAATCGAATCAATCACTTGTTTTATTTATAGAGGAGATATATCTCTATGCTCAAGCCAAAAAATTTCATGAAATTTCCAGCACCTAATGTTACCACACAAATTTTGAATTTTTATGTAAAAATGGTATTTTGGATATTTCTCAACTACCAGAAAGAGTGAGGATACAAAAATTTTGCCACATGTTAAGCACAATATGGACCAAAATAGTGCGTCTGGATTTTTCTTTAATTTTCATATTTACCGAGAAAACTGGAAAAAACTGTTTAAAAATCAAGTTGTGTGTTAGAATTGAAAATTTTAGTGAATAAAGAGGCATAACTAATAAAATACGGCACTTAATAACAATCCCTGACGCACTTCTTTACAGCAATATGTTACCATTAAAACGAGTGTAAAATTTAATTAATCCGAGTTGTAATTACAGAGAAATATCCATTTATACATCGGCTACTATGTCAGAAATCGAAACGGAGAAGTCATCGTTTTTCTATTTTTCACAATGAGTGACCGCCTGTGTGTAAAATGGGTGAACGTATGTGAAATATCTACTGTTAATACTTACTGCGACATATCCATGACTAACTGACGCCACTAAATTGGTAAAATGTTCCATGCACCTTGAGAAATTCTGAGAAATTACGAGGTGACCAACGCAATTCCATGCAAATGGCGTGAACCCGCCCATTGCCTGACGTCACTGTCAACAAACGCGCGCTTTATGTAAGGTGCGTTGCGAGGTGTGAGAACTATTTTAGGCTCTTGTGGGATACTTATTGGATCAGGGTAGTAGTACAGCTGTAGCAGGGTTGATGTTGATCAGGAGTAGATAATAGGGTCCTGATGTTGACGGATACTGGCTCAGTGAATATCGTGAAAATGCTGGTTGTATCATGTGTCTGACGTCATAATGGCGTCAGCCGCGACTCACTACACATGTATGCGGGCAAGCAAAACGCTCTGACAGTTCACATGTACCGTTATATGGAGAAATGAGCACGTACACAGGTGGCACATAGTGTTAGCCATCGAATAAAGTTGAAAATGAAAAATCGGTAAAATTTTTCCTAAAACCTTGAGAGTATCCTTAAATGCATTCTGTATTAATTATTGCTTGTGACAACTGTTGCGTTATAGAAACGTATAAGATTGTTAGTAACTTATGTACCCATGCCTCCCTTGAGACTGGCTTCAATCAACCCAGCGCCCACCCGGGTCCTGACCGGAGTGTTGGGGTTAAGCTTTGAAAGTCCCTCTGGCCTTAATGAAACTGAATTTAGAGCTCCTAAGCTTCCATTTTGACATGCATGGTCAGCAACACATGAGTGGCCTCGAGCGGGGTGGTGACGGACGGCATCATCGATTGAGTGCGTCTAAGAAAGGCAGCTTTTTTATGGTTATTAGTATCTTTAGATTAGAGAAGATACTCAAGATATAAACTATTGATAACAACTAGATACGAAAGATAACTCCTTTAGAAAAAAAGTAACCAATCATGGAGGATAGTAGTCATCTCTACCTTGACTACCAATTTACAACATTCAACGGAGGTGTGAATCGTTTTGAGCTATCTTTCTACATCTGGACCTTAGAGGATATTAAGACATTATCTTGTCTTATTGGAGCATCACTCCTACATGATTTAATATGCTTCAAAGGCGAATGGAGTTTTATTTTAAATGAAAATCTGTCATGTCCGCTGAGTTCCTGGTACAAGGGGGCCCAAGGAAAACATGCTTCCTCTGACGTTGAAGATCTGCGAAGAAGGTTATCATGTACCGGCTTATTGGCTTCATGGCAATAGATCTCCAGTGGTACGATTCACTCGCGATAGGGTAGTCCTACCAAGCCAGTCCTTATCACCAACAAGACAAACCCGATCATCGGCGAAGAGAAAGATGTAGAATCTACCCAACATCATCCTTCCAAGCACGAGAGAGAGAGACAAAGCTACTAGGATCTGAAAGACATCTCCTCCAATCACGACTAATGGAATTAAGAAAAAGTAACTATTATAAGATATAGCGTTCTCTCGAGATAATTAAGCCCCAGAGAACGCTTAGATAGAGGACTCTAAAGCCTTCACCGATCGATATAGAGCTCGACGAACGAGCATAGGGATAAAGAGCGATTTCACGCACATAGAACTTGCTCAAATGCGATGTTTCGATGCGACCGACACCTTGCTTCACCAATCCTCGATGGAGAGGTTGAGTTCATTCAACGTTTCTCAGATAGTCCTAGAAGCTTACGGAAGGAACACCGAGAACTCATTTCTACCAACTTGGAACTTGTTCGAAGTTACGACATCAGGCACTTCCAGCGGGATCTAGTTGGGTTCATGAGCACAAATGAGGCCTTCTCGCACAAAGGCCGGCCAAGCGTAGTACAGCCCATTATTGCCGCTTGTCGGTGTCTTGCGATTGGGTGTGTTGACTGGATGCGGCTGAGTGGAGCCACCCATGTGCCGTCTTTAAGACCTGACGACCTCATTAGCCCTGAGATGCAGCGCTGGTTCAGTTGGAAGATCTTCTTTGCGAAAGCTTATAAAAGATGTGGAAATAGTACCGAGAGTCGCTCTAGCTTCACCTCCCACAGCTCTCACAGTAGAGTTCTACGGCGAGCTTGTCGTTGTCATACTGGCCCGAAGAGAGGGGATGAGAAAGATCTTTGGCACCTACCAGTTATGGCTGAGTGCTCAATTCTGTGTATTATCGTTCTACTCTTCACTACAATAGGCGATCATCAGCGACAAATGCCAAAAATACCCAGGCATATCTCTACATCAAGAAGTAGCTGAATTCCTCGCTGCAGGATTGGACGATCTGGAGATGTACGGGAACAACATTCACAACGTGATCAAATTAGTGCCCACCTTGGCCATTGCTGCTATACTTCGTGACGTCGAGAGGGTAGTCAAGAACGAGTTTGTTAACGCAATGGAAGAGGAGACTCGCAACTTTGCCAACTCTAGGTTGTGTCAATACATGCTCAGTCCAGTGAGGACAACCTGGCAAGGCCAGATGCGACTTGAGATAGGGGGCCTATGGAAATCCTTCGGTTTCCCGGTCATTGACACCGAGAAATCAGCAAAAGCTCTCATGGAAGACATTAAGAAACCAGTAATAGTGGACACTTTAGCAGCTTTGGGGGGGGGCTACATGGCGACTTACATGTTTTGTAAGGAGTTTTTCCATAGAAACAAGGGGTGACCACCTGCCATTTAAGCGGTTAATTGGTTAACCAATTTAACTGGCCCCATCCGCGACGATATTAGAGACAGCATCACCTCTCGCCGATGGAACGAGCCAGGTAGACGGGGTTGGGATGCGCTCGACTTCCAGCATATTGTTGTAACCAAATGCTTGTCATTTGATTACTTCATAGAGGCATCGGACCTGCTAGCCGATAAGGCGATCAGCACAGGGAGGAAGAATTCTATACAGAATTATGATGCGAGTGCGTACCGAGCGTACTATGGAAAACCGCCACCTAGAAGATCAGGGGAGGCTGGTCGGAGGGTAATCCCTCGTTTCCTGTTCACTGATACGATCTCCGTGAAGGATGCGATAGAAGCTGTAGAGAGGCGGGATGTTCCTGATAGCGACAAGATCCTGACAGCCGTATTTAAGGAGAGGGAGCCCAAGATTGAGAAGGCACTAGGTTTCTGCAAATTGACGTATAACATGCGACTAGTCCAGGTAGCAACGGAGAAAAACATCGGGGAAGGACTATTCCCGTACGTGCGTAGTCAGAGTATGACAATGGACGAGGTCCTCCTGATCAACACCATCTTCCGACTGACCTTTCCATTCTCCAAGGGGCCATCGAAGTTCATCTTCTTTAGTTTGGACTTTGTGCTATGGTGCCTGAGGATGAGCCATCAAGCGCTTGATCCGCTTTTCGGATGTCTCGATCGCATGCTTGGGCTGCAGCGCTCGTTTGCGTACTCCCAAATCTTCCCTCATGAGTGCCTGCTGGTCATTCAAGATTGCTACTGGCCGCCTCTGTACGTTGCCGACGAGCCAGTTGAGACCACACTAAGCACAAAAGGAGTTGGGCACTGGATGGAGGGGCTGCGACAGAAGGGTTGGACATGGGCGACAATTATTATGATCACAAAAGTCGCTATGATTCCAGATGTCGCGGCAGCTCTCCTGGGTCAGGGCGACAACCACCGTCGCTCGCGTGCCGTCTGAAGAGACGATGCTCCAGAAGAGGATTACTGTGCAGAACTTTGTGGACAGTTTTGTCTTCACGTTGGTAGAGGAGTCAGTAAAACTTGGTTGGGAGGTCAAGTGGTCGGAGACGTGGTTTTCTTCCGTACTATTTGAGTATTCTAAGCGATATTACCTCAGCGGGGCGGAGGTTAGTGCGGCATTAAAGAAGGCATCAAGAATGGGGTTAGCGTCAAACAACGGGATTAGGACGCTGTCAAATCGATTGTCGTCATATTTTTCATCGGGCATGTCAATTGCGAGAAATGATCATAACCCAGTTGCGTGCTACGTGTTAGCTGTCATAGAGGCTACGAGTGCCTTGTTAGAGTGGCATGAAATGTCGGCCGTGACTTTAGCTACTCTGTGCCTTATCCCTCGACAACTGGGAGGCTAGCCTGTGGCTGGGTTTTCCTCCTTTTGTTATCGAGGTTAGATGGACCCGCTGACTAGTGCCCTGAGCACGATCATGACCTGCTCATCTATGGACAGCGAGGTCTTTGCTGAGATCTCGCAACTGATTGATCTCAGGCCCTCGGAGAATAGAGACATCTCGCTATTGATCAAAGATCCCTATAGCCTCAACGTAAGCCTCCCGATTCAGGCAGAAAAAAGGTCAGACTGGCTGTTAGAGACTCACTACTTGAGACCGGAAAGGTGGTTAACCCAACGCTGGCTTCTCTCTTCACAGCCCGATCGTCCGAGAGCGAGAGATTACTGATTAAAGACCTTGCTACGATTACCCCGTTCAACCCGCTTATTGCGAATTACTTAATGAGGCTGGCAAATGTGTCCTTGATTGACAGGAGCGTTGGAAAGTTTGCTAATTTGCGATCAGTGAGGACGAGCCTTGCAGGAACCACCATCATCCCAGAGTCGGAGTTTTAGGATTCAGTTGACCTCTTCGACAAAACGGGAATAGATTTCTATCTGCTGAGAAGAGAAGGTCAAAGGATCCGAACTTTAGAGGAGGTGCTTGAAGGACCAGTAGACATACCGATAGTTGAAATAGCTGATCGGCTGAGAGAACAAACGTGGGGAGCGACTATGGTGGGCGTGACACGCATGCCCGAACCATCAAGCTAGGCTATCCCGGTGGAGTGAAAACCTAGGCGATGGAGAGAGTTCTATCTTGATCGTAGTCGATACGGAGAGCTTCAAGCCATTGAGCAGGGGAGAGGAGAGTCCATACGCTGGATCACGCACTAAAGTTAAAACTGAAATCGAATTGGGAAATTTTGGATACAGACAGCATGGTAACCAACCTCAAGAAGATCCTCACCATTGGCCCTTGGATGCGTTCCACAGAAGATGAAAAATTCGGGAAACTTTTGGATATCCTACTCGCCGAGAAGATGTCGATCAGCAAGAATGATCTAGAAGCAGCTGCTGACCACATAACAGGAGGGAGTTTAGCTCATAGACTGAACCAAGTGAGTGGAGCTGGCGGTTTGATGATAAATTTCCTTCATAAAAATCAACTTCTCCTCTCACTGCAAGATTGTGACAAATACAGCCATCAAGTACTCGAGGTCTACAAGAGATGTATTCTTATGCTTCCAGACCGTAATCCTTTATGGCATTAACCTCCTTGCCCTGAGAGAATTATGTGGAGAGGACGTAAGCGGGGAATGGGCATTGACTGTGTTGGACGACGGCAACACAAGGATCGTACTAGAGGATGCTTATACTCTAGGAAGAAGCCCCCTATATCCTGGGGTACCATTAGGCCACTTAGTTGATTTTCTAGAAACAACGCGCTATTCGAGCAGAAGGTGCTCATGTGGATGTGAATTCGGGCCTAGCTGTCTACATCGCATGGAAATGGGCGGAACATCTGGTAGCTTGGAGGGGCAGCATGCTACGAGTGGTCAATGAAGAGTCATCTACATCAACCCTAAGGCCAAGCTTTGTCAGCTTGACTGACACTACCTTGATGGCCTTCGATGTGTTCATCCACAGCCTAGCACTACAACTGTTGGTTCGTGGTCGAACTGGGAGACACACTAAATAACATCTTAGATCTCCTAACCGTCGGGTGATCAGCTGGACCGCTTGTCATGCTCGCAACCGTACTCGGTTCAACCGTAGAATGCGGATTCGCATCAGAGGTTAGGACATACTTTGGAGGAATCCTACCACACAGTCCCCACACTGCGTCGAAATCCCTAGCCCAAATCCTAATTGACAGAATTAAACATGGGGCAGACCTAGTGCACTACAACTATGTAATGCAGAGAAATGAGTTAATAAGTAAATATGCAAATAACTAGTAATAGACAAATATAGATAGAATAAGAAATAGTTGGAGACAGAAGTCTTTGTTTAAACGCTGACCACCCACACGCGACGACCACTATACGTGTCAGCCAATGAGAGCGGTCGATATGCCCGCGTGACCAGAATGTAAGACAATAGAGGGGACGCGATATTTAAAGGAGCACGCCTTTGTGCGCGTCCTTCTGCCTCTGCCTCTCGGTATTCTGACAGAACAAGACGTATATATCTTTGCGTGTGTGAGCATCCTATCGACCGTTAGAATCGTAAGTTGTGTTTTGTGCCGCGTACACCTATGTACACGTAATCTGCCTTGTTCATGGGCGTATATGTTAGTTTAGGTTATTGTTATTAAAGATGTGATTGTACTCTAAATACGTAGATCACTTTTGAGTAATTTATATACGCATATGATAGACGTTTAGTACCAAGCATATACGCGACCACTATACAGTCACGATAGTACGACAATGATATAATACTCATTACAACTACGTCATCAGTGGAACTTTTGTGCCGCAAGCCAACGATCAGGCAAGGATCATCAATCGGATCTACGGATCAGTCTTTACTCGAGGGGTGTAATGAGCCCACTGTATTGGACTCAGAGGAATTCTACGTCAGTGGGGCGCGCGTCGAGGGTATGCCTGTTCAGACGTGCCTCCGCATGATCGCATGCACATCAGACTATGAGCGACCGCTATACCGCGCGATTCGACAGGAGACCGAGACTCACACCACCCCATGAAGAGAGGCAGAAGCATCGTGGGTTCTAGGAGCTTGTAACCCTCTAACATTCGACCTATTGGTGCTCCTTCACCAGATCGCGAAAGATGGCATAAAGATGGTGGTTAGTTTAGCAGATGATGGAGGTGATTGTTATGCGTCGTCATAGAAAGCGAGAATAGATATACAGAAGGGTATTGTGTAGAGTTACATCCGGGGAGCGTAAGGAATGATGCCTGCAGATTGGCCTTGAACATAGGTCTTACACTACAGTGTAACATTGCTCACATACTACCAGACTTCCTTGAGGGTGATCTGATCATCGACAACTCGTCTCACTCTCACATGGAACTTCCTCAGGGAATGCATCTGATAAGGAGGAGCTGTGACTTCTTCCCGGGCCACATCATTCACTCACAAAGATCTGTGATTAGAAATGACATATGGTACTATGGTATCATTGATTACAAGAGCCAGACAACCACAAGGCCCTATCACGTTCGGCCTAAGAGCGATAGGCACCTGCTGGGGAGTGCTGACGCTATAATCTCTATCGGAGTCCCAGATGGGTCTCTACTCAACAAGTTGCCTGTCGAAACTCATCTCCTCAAGGTCCTTTTTTGGATTTGCATCCTTTGACTCGACTGAACTGGAGCACTCGCTGATGAAGTATCAATACGAGCGCGGACCGAAACTGAGAGATTCCTCCTGGGCACGAATGGGAGTGGGAAGTGATGATCCTGTATCGGCAATACAGAGAGATAATCGTGATAATAGGATCATGACTCCTAGAAGAGCTCTGTCTCGGAAGAGCTTGCCAGTTATCGTATGATGATCGAATTTTCTTCCAAAGAGATATATCTCTCCACCTACACGGACACGAGCAGGAACCATTCCGCTTGTGCTGGCAAGTGGATTGTGAAGAGTCTAATTTTGAATTTATGCTAGAGGCTGAAGACTGGCGTTTGTCCTCCCCCTTGATTGAACACTGGTGGTTCTTCGGGCGCAGAAGAGAGTATGGGTATGTTGAAGAGTCTCAAATGTGAGAGGCCATCGATGCTGTCTGGATAAGTATATTGAGCTAGTGCCGCCGTCTGTCGGGAAGATCACAGTATAGCAACAGGAGCGGTGCTCGTGCACGTTCAAGTGTGCGGAGTGCTCCCTTTTGGTCGTATTTTGGCCGTGGTTGGTGTAACGAGTATGCCTGACTGAATCATTGAATCAAATATTAAGAAAAAGGAGTGGGTAGCTTTGTTGGTGGCAGCAGTGTTAACAGCTGTTAGTTATCTTCTTATCTGGAGATAATTCAGCAGGGTTGACCCAGTAAACAGGCAAGACTGTGCAAGCCAGCTAAAACGGGATTCACACGTGCAACGAATTCACGTGCACACGTCTGTGTCGGGAGCACTATACTGTAAGTGTTATGGCGAATTTTCACCACCAGAGCCGTTCGATTTCTCTCAGCCTAACTCATGGACCAGGTGGATAAAGCGGTTTGAACGATTTAAGGTAGCCTCAGGGTTAGACAACAAATCCCCACAGCACCAGGTGAACACTTTGACATATTGTATGGGAGAGAAGGCAGACGAGATATTTTCTTCCTTTACATTTGCTGTATCAGAAGCAAGTGATGAGTCTCAAGACTTTGATTGTGTCAAGAAGAAGTTCGAGGAATACTTTATTGTCCGCCATAACACATCTTTGAAAGAGCTAAATTCAACGGGAGAGTGCAAGGTCTGGATGAACCAATTGATTCCTTCATTACTGCTCTACACACACTCGCCGAACATTGTGAGTACGGCACTCTAAAGGAAGAGCTAATTAGGGACAGAATCGTTGTTGGCATCCGAGACAAGCATCTCTCTGAGCGTATGCAAGTAAATAAGGACTTAACCCTGAAGCTTGCAACAGACCTGGCTCGTCAGTCAGCCCAGGTAAAGAACCAGGTAAGAAAGTTGACATCAACTACGGTAGTCGGTGCTGAAGCTTTAGCCGTACATGCCAAAGGTCGATATGACAAGAAGAAGTCTGCACGTTCGACGTCACAGTATGGTCAGAAGAGGTGTCCGTGGTGTGGAAACTGCTCATAATCGCTCTATGCCCTGCCAAAAATGTAAACGGCCGGCGACGCCAACTCAAAGGGCATTTTGAGAAGGTATGTCGGAAGGCCAAGACAGTAAATGAAGTAACTACACAGTCTTGTTCATACGCTTTGTCAGATGTCTTCCTAGGAGAAGTAAGTGTGGGCAACCAGTCAGGTCGCGACCCACAGTGGACATTTCCTATCACTGTGTGTGATAAGGAGGTGAAGTTTGATGTCTTCCTAGGAGAAGTAAGTGTGGGCAACCAGTCAGGTCGCGACCCACAGTGGACATTTCCTATCACTGTGTGTGATAAGGAGGTGAAGTTTCGTGTGGACACAGGGGCAGATGTATCTGTAATGTTGCGACAAGTGTTCGACCGTGAGTTTCCGGGGACCAGGCTGGAGTCATCCTCTAGAGTAATCCTTGGGGCTAATCATAAGCCTATCCATACCTATGGTTGTTTCCGTGCTGAGATAAAGTTCAAAGAAAAGTCGTGTGTAGAGGAAGTCTACATCTTCGAGAAAGCCTCAAATCTGTTGAGCGGCAAAGCTTCCCATGAACTTGGAATCATCTCCGTTGTTGGCTCAGTGGAAAAGAAGTTTCCAAGTTTGTTTACCGGACTGGGGAAGCTTGAGACTCCATACGAGATAAAGCTGCGAGAAGACGTACATCCGTACACTATCAGTGCGCCACGAAGGATTCCCCTCCCTCTTCTTCCCAGGGTGAAAGAAGAGCTCAGCCGACTGCAGGCAATAGGAGTTATTTCGTCGGTGGAAGAGCCGGCGGACTGGTGTGCTCCTATAGTTGTTGTGCCGAAGCCATCAGGAGACGTTCGCCTGTGTGTGGATCTGACTAAGCTCAACGTGGCAGTCCAGCGTGAAAGACATGTTACCGCCAGTCGATTATGTACTCGGGCAGCTGGCCAATGCGAAAGTATTCTCTAAGGTAGATGCTAATGCAGGGTTTCATCAGATTCCTTTATCAGAGAAGTCAAGGAAGCTGACGACGTTCATCACTCCATTTGGTCGATTCTGTTTCAAGCGTCTTTCCTTCGGGATCTCCAGCTCTCCGGAACACTTCTCGAAGCGAATAGCTCAGATTCTAGAACGTATTCCGGGGGCAGTTTCACAAATGGATGACGTCATAGTTTTTGGTCGTAACCAAGCAGAACATGGTGTTAAATTGACTAGAGCTCTTACTCGCCTAGAGAACGCCGGAGTCACTCTGAACCGAGACAAGTGTGTCTTTAGCCAGAGCTCCATCAAGTGTTTAGGTCAGATAGTGTCTACAGATGGCATCACAGCTGATCCTGAAAAGGTTGGTGCTGTCAGGAACATGCCTGTGCCAACCAATGTCAGCGAACTCAGGAGATTTTTGGGGCATGGTGAATCAGATGGGAAAGTTCACGCCTGGCCTAGCTTAATTGACCTAGCCAATCCCACCGCTGCCACCATGTTGCGTTATAGAAACGTATAAGATTGTGAGTAACTTATGAGCAGTTTATTCACACGTCAGTGTGGCTTGCTTACATGATGTAAAGAGAGCGACTGCCTCACGTGCAGCGATTATACACGGCAGTCTGGGCCGCAGGAGCCACCGTCACTAGCTATATGTTAATGTCGCGTTCAGGATACCACGAACTATATATCTTTTAATGAACAGAACACATTTATTTAACAAGCCACACGATAACACAACCAGTTCACACAGAACCAGATAATGAATAACAAGTCGGTTTCAGTTTGGATTCTAAGAACCTTCCCGGTTGGCTCTAACACTATATTACTCATATAGTACCGAATAGTATCGTGACAGTTAACACTTGAACACGCGTTAACCAATAGTGTAATCACTAACACAACCACAACTGCTATAGCTGTGCTAGCCAAATATTAAATATGTTCCTTATCCACAAAAACGCTGATTGTGGTATGAGATTTTGTTTGCTATTGTCATTGAAAAGTTTTCTAGTTGCACTGTGAGTGAAGGTTTTGTGGGACACGTGAGTCTTTGGCAATTTGTTTCCCAAGCAGCCCAAGCCTCTACGGTGCAGTCTATTTTACTCTCTGGTGGTTGTGTGGTGTGCTTTTATGTGAAAGAACAGGAAATCTCCATGTGTATACAAATAAATACCGTGACATAAATAAGACATCGGTGATTACTTTTTTGATCACTGCTACTGTTAAGATATCGCTCTGTACTTCTACATATTAGTACATTAAATATGAGGCGTTTTAATGAAATGCATTCTGTGAAGGAATAAACTACATTCCCGTGCACGTTTGTCTATCCTTCATACTGTTTTGTCAATACGGTATGGCACCTTATCTTGCAGGTAGGTATCATAAGTGCACGCATTGAAACATGTATAATTTGTTGTTATCTGTTGCATCTTGCAGTGCAAACGTAGCTGGCAAACAGTGGCATAAGTGATGTATCAGTGGTTTTGCTTGTCTAATAATAAGTAGTTTGCAGATATAGTTAGGGAGCATCATCCATAGGTATAAGGGTGTCCAACATAATTGCACGTTGTGAGAAAGAGAGAGCAAAGAGAGAGTAGCCTGTCTATGTTTTTTCTTGGTCACTGATTTTCCTATTTACCATGATATGCTGCAATTGATTAAATCAGGACTGTGTGTATTTAGAAGTAGGCGGGTTTTATATAAAGCTGCTACATCCGTTGTACGTGCATTCTGCTCGTGGAACACACTAAACGTGGCTATGTAGTTTGTTCTCGTTTGATAATTCTAACGCGTGTATGATGAATATTATGTGAAACTGTGTTATTATAGTAAGTTATCATCATGCGCACACTCGTTCTGTCCTGTGCCATTGTGTTCACGATACTCCTGCATCAGATGGAAGGAGCAAGTGTGCTGCAGGCACTTACACAGCAGCTGAGCAAGCAGGATAAGGGGCTGAGAGCTCAGCTAGCTAGCAGACAAGAGGACCTGCATCACTTGATGCAATTGTTGCAATATAAGGCGCAGGATTCAAACAAGGAATTGTTTGAAAGGTATGATTACCTTATTCGGAGCATTTAAAGGTTAAATGTTTTTTAGTTAATTTTCTCTCTAGTATCATATAAGCCACAATTTCACAGTCAAAATCACTATATCGATGTTTCACCGCCCATCCCCTACACACACACTGTGTATATGTTTGGGCTCCTAGCTTTGCAGTCCTATTTGCAGTCCTATTTGCATCGCTTGTTATTCAGTGATGTGTATGGTCAAAGTTAGGACGCTGTACGTACGATACATTGAGACGTACCATTACAGGCAGCTGAAGGAGCTATTGATACAGCAGCTGCTACTCAGAAGAATTGTAGATGAAGCTACTCATCAGATCTCGGAAATCTCGATAAGGATGTATGTATTGCCACTTTCTGATAGTATGCGAATAGGATCACAATTATTAGAGCTGTGCATGTGTGCGTGGGTGCTTGCGTTCGTACGTGTGCATGTTTGTTGAATATTTGTACAAACATTAGTTTTTTTGATAAACTCGATTTGTTGAAAAACATCAACTTTTGAACTCATTTCCAACTTCTGGCATTCTGGCATATCACTTGTTGTCTTTCTTAAAAACGATTTATCTCTCCCCCATCTCTTGACCTCAGTCGCAGGATCACTCTCTCTCTCTCTCTCTCTCTCTCTCTCTCTCTCTCTCTCTCTCTCTCTCTCTCTCTC